AGGAATGTACTGTTCAAAATAACAACCAAAAGGACAACATTTGTCCAAAAACAAAATTCAGAAAGTGGGACAGGAAAATTAATGGAAGCAGGAACCCAGAGAGGAAATTGGAAAAGTGATTGTGTGTTTATATATATTTAGGGAATTAAAGCTAATATGATGAAACAAAATGCATACAAATTGGGGAATGAAAAAGGAACTTTCTCTTTTCAGTTTTCACCCAAATGGTAGTATAATGTTGAACACTGGAACCAAGTAAAAGAGCCTTCCATTGGCCACAGATGGGCTATCAGGAAGAACAGTAACAGCACGGATTCAAGCATACAAAATGTAACTAAATCCAGAAGTTGATACTGTGTTAAAACCTTCATCTTTTCAGGGAACTAATTTCTTATTAGAAAGCTATTTTTTTTTTAATTCAGGAAATTGATAAAAGAAAGAGCCTGAGTCTCCTTTGCAAACTTGTATCTGAGCTATCCATTAATGAGCTTGAAGCTTTTTTTTTTTAACTAAGCATGTTCTACTTGATAATTGAAGCAAGAATAAAAGATTGTCACCATTTACAAACATGAAGAAAAAGAATATTACTATTCTTTGGCTTCTAGGACCACAAAAAGACAAAGTTCACAGGTACTCTTTGTGGTCACCTACAGGTCTTAACAAAAACAGTTGAACCTCAATCTGATTATATTTTCATACCTTAATTCATAAGAAATACTATAGTATTCCCTGTTTGTGTTGGGCAGCGGGGGTGAAAAACCATGTTTAAGACAGAGAAAACCGTAATAAAACCATGGAGATGACATCTAAATCACAGTAAAAAATTTAAAGAATGAGAAACCAATCTAAGTTCCACACCTGATGTCTAGACAAGTTTCTTTCTCTTCCTCTCTGCTTATTCTTTTAACTCCACCTATTTATTTTTCTTAAAAGGAGATATAATGAATAAAATCTATATTGCATAGGCTAAAAGTCAAACGACTTGGTTTATTTTGTGAATTTTTATAGTAAGACACATGAAAAGAAAAATTTTGAAAAGATGTTAGGGAGAGAATGTGTGTGAATAAGAATCTCATGTTTGTTGTTGGTATGTGCCATCGAGTTACTTGCGACTCATAGCGACCCTATGTATAACAGCCCTAAACTCTGCTCTGTCCTGTGCCAATCGCACTGTCTCTGACACTCCCATCCTGATTATCCCAGTCACTGAATCAATCCACCTCATAGAGGGCCTTCCCCTCCTGCGCTGTCCCTCCACCCTCCCAAGCATGATGTCCCTCTCTAAGGACCGGTCTCTCCTCACAACATGTCCAGAGTATGTTAGATGGAGCCTCAGAATCCTTGCCTCCAAGGAGCCACCCGGTTTAACCCTTTCCAGGATGAATCTGTTTGTTTTCCTAGCAGTCCATGGTATTCTCAATACTCTTCTCCAGCACCACAGCTCAAAGGCATCAATTCTCCTTCTATCCTCCTTGGTCATTGTCCAACTCTCTGATGCATAACAAGTGATTGTGAAGACCATGGCCTGTATCAAATGAACCTTAGTCTCCAGGGAGACACCATTGCTCCTCAGTACTTTGGAGAGGTCCCTAACAGCAGACTTTACCATGGCAATGCGCCTTTTAATTTCATGGCTCCTGGTGCCAAGAGTGTTGACTGTGGAGCCAAGCAAGCTAAAGCTGTGAACAGTCTCAAGCTCTTCACCATCCATCCTGATGCTGCCAGTTGATCCAGTGGTGAGAATCTTTGTCTTCTTGACATTGAGCCTCAGTCCATATTGGAGGCTACAGTCCTTGACCCTCTGCAGCAGGTGCTTCAGGTCCTCTTCAGTTTCAGCAAGCAGGGTTGTGTCATCTGCATAACGCAGATTGTTGATATATCTTCCACCAATCTTGACCCCACATTTCTCCTCATAGAGCCCAGCTTCCCGGATAATCTGTTCTGCATATAGGTTGAAAAGGTATGGAGATAGGATACATCCCTTCCCAATTTTGAACCATGCAGTGTTCCCTTGCTCTGTTCTGACGACTGCCTCCTGGTCCAAGTATAGGTTTCGCATTAGCATGATCAAGTGTTCTGGGATTCCCATTCTTCTCAGAGTCAGCATGAGCTGAGAAGAATGACTCATGTAGCAAATATATTAAATAGGCACTCAGGCAAAGCTTATTAATGGAAAATAGGACTATTACGTATTGATACATTATTTCATTCACGTACATCCACCAACTGCTCCATGGGAGAAAGATGGGCTGTCAACTGCCGCATGATTGATTGACTGGCTCTGAAAAACCCACTGGAGGGTCAGCTGTGAGTTGGTCCTAACTGGATGGTACATAACAACAAAAGTTGGTAGAATTGTAAACTAGCAGTCCACTGAAAATATACTTGCATAAAGTAGAAAAGCCAAGTACAAAGAGGAATCTTACACAAAAGTCAGTAAGGGCTTTATGAGGTGCTGTCTAATAAAACTCAGCACCCCTCATTAACAGATCTGAACCTTGCCCTATACTTAACATCTGTCTGTCAGTACATCTGTTTGAAGATCTTCCTCGCTGATCCTCCACATTTCCAAGTACAATATCTTTTTCCAGGGATCAGCCCCTCCTGACCACATGCCCCAATTAGATGAAGCTTCACATCTTCACCTCCAAAGATAACCCTGGTTGCACGTTGTCCAAATGACACACTTGATTCTTTCCTTGACTGATACTTGTTAGAAAAACACCAGATAATAAAGTGAGGCTCAGTGGTATTCAGATACTGAATATGCTGAGATACTTGGTCCTCCTCTCCAGCAGGACACAACAAAAGCATAGATTCTTCTGTCATGCTGATTAATTGTCCAACTTTTACATCCCTAGCAAGTAATTGAAAAGACTGTGGCTTGGATCAGATGCACCTTAATCTTTTAACTTCATTGTTCCTAGAACCTTATAGAGGTTCTTGACATATTTTTCAGTGCAACGTATTTTTCTATTTCTTGACTGCTGATGTCAAGGATTTTGATATGGATCCAAGCAGATGAAATTGTTGACAACTTCAGTCTTCTCTTCATCCACCATGATGTTGGCTCAGTGGTGAGGACTTTTGTCTTGATGTTGAAATGTAATCCCTATTGAAAGCTGTAGTCTTTGATCTCATGTAGCAAGCATTCTGTAACCTCTTGGCTTTCAGCAGACAAAATTGTGTCATCTGCATACACAAATTGTCGATGAGTCATCTTCAGATTCTGATGCCACAGTTCAAGCTGCACTGAAGGCATTGGCAAAAAATGCCCCAGCAATTGATGGGGTACAGACTGAAGTGTTTCAACAGACAGATGCAGCCCTACACATGCTCAGTAGTCTATAACAATACATTTAGAAGACAGCTGACTGACTGAGAAAGATCCATATTTGTTCCCATTCCCTAAAAAAGGTGATCCAGCAAAATGAAAATTACTGAACGATATCATTAATACTACGTACAAGTAAAATACTGCTGGAAATCATCCAGAATGGCTGGAAGAGTACCTTAACAGAGTTGCCAGAAATTCAAGCTGGTTTTAGAAAAGGCCATACCACCAGGGGTATCCTGGTTGATGTCAGATGTATCTTAGCTAAAAGCAGAGAATACCGAAGGATAATTATTTGTGCATTGTTGACTAGATAAAGGCATTTGACTATGTGGATCATAACAGATTATGTCTGACACTGAGAAGTAAGGATCTGGGTTATTTATCCTGAACAATTAACCCACTTGTTTTTGTAAGCCAAGTGAATAAGAGCATGTTCTGATATTTGCCACAAACATGGAAATATCTGCAGCTTACATGTAAAGTTTATTTCTGGTTCATAGAAGCCTTTTGTCACTTAGCCTCACTTTATCGCCTCTTGCTTTTATAACAAATACCATAAACAAGTAGCTTTAACAACCAGAAATGTGTTTTGTTTTGTACTGTCAAGTTAGAACTGAATCAGTCAGTTCTCCAGCAGGTTTCCAGAGGCAATAAATCACACGGAAAGAGATTGCTCCTCTTTTTGTCTATGGAGCAGCTGGTGGATCCAAACCATGTGCCTTTGGGATAGTAGCACAGCATACCACTGGGCCACCAGAGCTCTCATTGTTCGCTGTTGTGTTTGCTGTGTACCACTGAGTCAGAACTGACCCATAGCTGACACGCTGGTGGGTTTTCAGAAGCAGGTAATCACATGGGAGGAGATTGCCCATCCTCCCACGGAGCAGCTGGTAGCCTCGAACTGGGTGCTTTTGGGATTGCAGTGCAGCTTCTTGGCACTAGGCCACCAGAACTCATTGTTTAGGAGGCTGGAAATCTGAAAATCGGGCCACTGGCTCTGGCAGAAGGCTTTCTCTGTAGGCTCTGCAAGAATGTTCTTGTCCAGCTTCTATCCTATCATAGCACCTTGGTTACCTGCATGCATCCCTAATCTCATTTTAAGAGATTTACTTAAGCACTTTACACTAATACCGTTTTACTAACATAACAAGGAAACCCCCTTCCTAAATGGGATTATCACTACAGTTACAGAGGTTAGCATGTACAGCACATATTTTGGGAAACACGGCTTCACCCACAAGAGCCAGTTTTACCTGAATGTGTGTTCAGTGACCCAGTTAAATTAGAAATCAGTAGACTAAGGGATAGCTACCTGGAAAAGCCCTGTATGTTTGGAAGTGAAACACTCTATAAATCATGGGTTAAAGTAACAATAATACTGGAAATGAAAGCAAACCAATCTCAAACAAGCATAAAGAGTTTAATTATTTTTGAGGAGGTTCTGGTGGCCTAGTGGGAAGAAGCTGCACTGCATCCCCAGAGGTACGCAGTTTGAATCCACCAGATGCTCTGCTGGAGAAGGAGGAGCAATCTCCT